TCACCACCATCACCACCTTCACCACCTCCACCAACAGCCCCACTGCCTTCATCTTCTTCACCATCGTCTCCACCTGAGTGAGTCCTTTCCCTGCCGCAGGGCTGAGTGCTCCCCAGTGCTCTGCCCTCCCCATAGAGCTGGGCGCTCTCACCCGTCTCCCAGGAGAGGAAGCTGGTGCTGGGCGGAGGCGCAGGTGGAGAACCGTGTGCTGCTCAGCGGCTGTCCGTCTGGGAGCAAGACCCGGGCTGGCCAGCTGCAGGGCCGCCTTCCCCACCGAGCGCCTGTGCCTGATGCGGGGCTGTGCCCAAAGCCTCCCAGGGGGCTGGACCCCAGACTAGCTCAGCCACCCAGCCCTCTCCCCTCTCTCCCAGCCTCCAGGCACCGAGCCCACCCTCCCCCCCAGCGACCATCGCCGCAACGCTCCCCGGCCCAGCTCCCGGCCCAGCCTCAGCCTCAGCCTCCCCTCAGTAAGCAGCCGGGCGCCTGGCCTACCCATCAGCGGCCGCAGGCAGGAGGCGGCCTTGGAGTTGGGCTTATGAAAACCGTTAATAATTTCAAAGACCCCAGGAGGCTCGTCCCCAGCCTCCCACGAAGGTCCCTCAGATCCCTCCCTGGGGTCGGCAGTGAGGGCCCCGGTGGCCAGGCCTGGCCGGCGCAGGACTGCGGGCGCAGCGGGCCTGGCGAGGGGCAGCCGGGGAGCCAGAGCCGGGGGAGTGTGTGTCCCGGTGGGGGAGGGGAGGTTTGACTATTTTTTTTAAAATCTATTTTATTGATTTTGTACAGAGAGGAGGGGAGAGAGAGATAGAGAGTCAGAAACATCGATGAGAGAGAGTCATCGATCAGCTGCCTCTTGCACGCCCCCTACTGGGGATGTGCCCGCAAGCAAGGTACATGCCCTTGACCGGAATCAAACCCGGGACCCTTCAGTTCCCAAGCCGACGCTCTATCCACTGAGCCAAACCGGTCTTGGCTGACAATTTTTTAATACGATTATTTTATGGCTCTATAAGTAATGCAGGCCCGGTGTGGGAATTTGGAAAAATACAGAAACACTGAAAGTAAACAGAGGAAATGCTCCCGCCGTTCTCCGGAGCATTATCTCAATTTATTGAGGTTCTGATTCCCAGCACATGTCGACGGTTTGGCTCAAACAAACTCACAAAAATTATTGGGGGGAAAAAAAGAAAAAAGTACACGGAAGGACACGGCCAGCCCCGGGGAAGCTGCTGTGAGCACTGGGGGTCACATCTTGCCGCCGGCTTTACGTGCAGGTGCAGCTGTGTATTCTCTGTGCACCAACACTTTCCAGCTCATTAAATATGCATTGGAGGCATGATTTTTTAATGCCTCCTTATTATGCAATGTTTCAACTGTATACAAAGAGGAAGAGAACTGGTAACCCACGCCCTTTCGAAGCGATCCGCATTGCCAGCCTGCCCGCGCCCGGGCCCGCCTGGCCTGCTTTAGGTACTGGTTTTGTGCTTCTCCTGCGCTGTCTGCGAGAACGCTGTCAGGAGGTGCACAGTGTCCCCGAAGGACACCCCTCGCCCGGCGCCGGCACGGGGACGGTGCCCTCGTGGGGGCTCGGGCCCGGGCGCCGTGGAGCCGTGTGGGCTCCGGACACGGAAGGGCCGGCGGGAGAGGAGGCCGGAGCAGAGACAGGCAGGCGGGGCGGGCGGGGAGCTGGGCAGGCGGGCATTGTGGTGGTGCTGCCACAAGCCAGGGGCACCGAGGACAGCTGGAGGGGAAGCAGGAAGCTCCGCAGCCCCGAGGGGCCGGCCCGCCCTGCTGGGCTCAGACTGCGGTCCCCGGGGCTCGGAGCCCGAGAGAACGAGGGATTTGGTCGTAGCGACTCGGCTGCGGGACTCTGTGCGGCCGCTGGAAGCCATACACATGCCTGCGAGCAAACCGGGAGGGCGCAGCCGACAGCCGGGTGCGGGGACCCTGGACCTTCCCGCTCATGTGCCCTGAGCAGGAACAGCGACGTCTCCGTGTGCTGACTGAGAGGCAGCCGTGGGTTCGAGCCCACAGTCTGTGTCAGCCTCGTTCACGCTCATCCGATTTCACAGGCCCGTGGTCTGTACCCATGTAGTGTGTGTGTGTGTGTGTGTGTGTGTGAGTGTGTGTGAGTGTGTCAGTGTGTGTGTGTGTGTGAGTGTGTGTGTGTGTGAGAGTGTGTGTGTGTGTGTGTGTGCGTGTGTGTGTGTGTGTGTGTGTGAGTGTGTGTGTGTGAGAGTGTGTGTGAGTGTGTGTGTGCGTGTGTGAGTGTGTGTGTGTGTGTGAGTGTGTGTGAGTGTGTGAGTGTGTGTGAGTGTGTGAGTGTGTGTGTGTGTGTGTGAGTGTGTGTGTGAGAGTGTGTGTGAGTGTGTGAGTGTGTGTGTGTGTGTGTGAGAGTGTGTGTGAGTGTGTGTGTGCATGTGTGAGTGTGTGTGTGCGAGTGTGTGTGTGTGTGTGTGTGTGTGAGTGTGTGTGTGAGAGTGTGTGTGTGTGTGTGTGTGTGTGAGTGTGTGTGTGCACGTGTGAGAAATGCATAGAGCGTCGCCATTGTCAGTGGCGTGGAAGCTTGAAGGGCGGGGGGAGCCCTGGGCGGCCGGGCAGTGGGTGCAGGGCTGCCCACCCGCCTCCAGGGAGACGGCTCCTGTCTGCGACGACACTGACAGGCACGTGGCAAGCTCCCCGTGGCAGCGTCTTCAGGTCCCTGGTGTGACCTCCACTGCCCGCCTTCCCCTCCTCCGCTGGTCAGAGGCCGCTTTCTCCTTTAAATCAGACCACAGAGCCGGCTGCGACCCCGCGAAGGCTGTCTGTGTCAGAGTGCGAGCGAGCGAGTGAGTGAGTGCGTGTCCTGAGGGAGGCGTGTGGACCTGGTTGCCCCCCACTTTCCACACTCGTGGTCAGTGCACGTCATAATGAGGATTAAACTCCGGTCTCCTGGTCGAACTCCCAAGGGGACACTTTGCATATTAGCCTTTTAGATAGATATAGATATAGATAGATATAGATATAGATATAGATATAGATATAGATATAGATATAGATTAGATATAGATATAGATATAGATTAGATATAGATATAGATATAGATATAGATATAGATATAGATATAGATATATAGGTATATAGGTATATAGGTATACAGGTATACAGGTATACAGGTATATAGGTATATAGGTATATAGTATATAAGTATATAGGTATATAGATATATAGATAGATTATTTTTGGCTAACCCTCACCTGAGGGTATTTTTTCATTGATTTTTTAGAGAGAGTGGAAGAGAGGGGAGAGACAGAGAGTGAGAAAAACGTCAATGTGAGAGAGACACATAAATTGGTCCCTGCCCAGGGCAGGGGATGGAGCCTACAACCAAGGTACATGGCTTTGCCCAGAATTGAACGGGGACCCTTCAGTCTGCGGGCCGAAGCTCTATCCACTGAGCCACGCGGCCGGGCTGCCTGTTATTTGCTCCCTGCGGCTCCCTGTGGGTTTGCCGCTGGAAGGAGGGGGCGGACTCAGATGAACGTCCGCAGGGCACACACTCCCGGCAGCCTCCTCGCGGCCTCCCGGAGCCGCTGCCTGCCGCGGACAGTGGGCAGGGCCTTCCTCCTGATCTTAGAGGAAGTGCTGCCTTTGTCCAGTGCTTATATCGTGGAAAAGGGTTAAGTTCTGTCAAATGCTCTTCTTGCACCCGTTGGTATGATCATGTGGTTTCCCCCTCCACTCCGTTAATACAGTGTATTGCGTCGATTAAGGCTCACAGGTCAAACCATCCTTGCCTTCCAAGAATAACTCCCACTCGGTCTCGGTGTGGAAGCTGCTAATGCGCTGATGAGTTCTGGGTGCTGGTGTTTTACTGAGTGTTCCTCCTCCGTGTCCTTCGAGGCTGCTGGTCTGTAGTCTTTGCCGGTGGTGTCCCTGTCTGGCTTTGGTGTCAGGCAATGTGGACCTCGTAGGAGGAGTTGGGAAGCTGCCTCCTCTTCGGGTGTTTTGAAGTCTGAGAAGCATTGCCATTAGTTCTTCTTTAATGTCCGGCAGGACTCACCGGGGAGGTCTCTTCTCTGTTAGGAGGAGGCAATCACTGATTCAGTCTCCTCACAGCCACAGACCTGCTCAGAAGTTCTATTTCTTCGTGTGTTTAGGAACTTGCCCGTTCCGTCTAGGACTAGGTGATCCCAGGGGCTGGCCGGCGGCTGTGCACTCTTGCACATGGTGGGTGGGGACAGACTCTACTGCACAATCTATAGCCTGGTCGCCCCACCCAGTCACTGTCCGGGCGGCAGACCTCAGCCTGGCCTCTGACTGCAGAGCCCACGTTCCTGGCCCCCGCCACGAAGGGGGGGATTCTGCATCGCAGCCATGTCCAGAACCCAGATGCCCTGCCCCCTTGTCCTTCCCACTCTGCCCCCCTGCCTGGGGCGTAACCGGGGGTGACCCCTCGAGTGCCAGGACCCCAGCACCTCCCCTGGCGCGCGGCTGCTTCGGGAACTGACGCGCTGTTTTAAGTTTTGATTTACTTTTCCTTCCACTGGCATTTATGAGCCCAGGACGCCTTGTAACGATTCAGAAATTTACGTCAAAGCCTAAGCCGGCGTGGGCGAGCCCAGGTGGAATGTCTGGCCCAGGGGCCTCCCGGGAGAGGCGCAGGGCCGGCCGCTGTGGCTCCAGGCAGGGCGCTCAGGAGGCAGAGCCGGGGTTGGCACGCTGGGCTCCCGGAGGAGGGTGACTGAGTGCGTGCCCTGGGACTGCTGTCACGGTGGTCACAGCCAGGCGTTCCCTCTCACAGACCTGGAGGGCAGAGGTCCGAGCCCAGGCGTGGGCAGGGCTGTGCTCCCTCCTAAGGCCCGGCCCAGCGGCTGCGGGCATTCCCGGGCTGGGCCACGGCGCTCCCATCTCCGCCTCCACCGCCACGTGGCCTCCCCGCTCCTCTGGCTTCTCCCTGTCTGTCTGTCTGTCTGTCGCCCACATCCCAGGCCTCCCCTATAAAAACTCTCCCCTGAGCTGCA